ACACAGCATGTCTCGTATTCTGGTGTTTTATGGCGTTGTGGCCGAATTCAGGGGGGTGCCATTTCCACGTCGTCAGACTTGTGCGGACCATTTTACTAACATGTAATCACTACCTCCTGTAGTTTGTGCTGGCCTAATTTCAGGTGTGTATGACCTTCCCTGTAGGAAGAGATAGATTTTGAAAACGGCCAAAAATGGCCAAAAGTCAGGCAACATCACCAAAATTGTCACCAGGGTTTTTCAAAATGGCGGACTTCCTGTTGGGTTTAGGGCTTGGCGCTGATTGAGTTTTTTGTGCGTCCTGACCTGCTACACATGCCCACTGAATCTTGTCAGTGTAGGTGAAACAACCTTCCGACAAGAGTCAGTTGAATGCAAAAAACACTGCTGCCAACACCTAACTACAAGAATGACGCGAACCTAAGCTCAAGCCCCAAGGGCGAACGAAAACTGGCCAGCCGATCCCACCAGGTCAAACAACCTAAAATCAGGAACAAAAGAAGCCAGGCCAGCATCAGTGAAGCTGCCAACGTGTCAGTTGGAGACAAGAGTGCGCACCGGTCCGAGGCGCGCCACATTGAGGTGGAGCCTGTAGGGGAGCTGATCTGGAGGCAAGAGCGAGAGAGAGTGAGCAAACAGAAAGTCAGCCTATTTATAGGCGGAGCAGTAACTCTACCAATTACTGTAAAAAACTCAACTAAACATGCTCACCTGAGAAATACTAAAATATGTACAAAAAACAAGCTCCAACATACATAAAGCGAGGGGAAAATATGCTGAACAAAAGAAAAGGGTAAAAAATATGCCCCCAGCACATAGCAGAAGTGAATAATTATGCAATCACTTACTTTACATTTTCTATGTTAAACTATTTGGTATTACTTTGTGGAAACTTGTTTTAAGTTTGACATTCAAGAGTCTTTTTTTTTTTGCAAATTATTGTCAAAAGTCAAATTATGTTGACCATGATTCAGTGTCGAAAAGAGATTAAAAAGATAACTTCCATTAAGTATTAGCAGCAAAATGTTCCTGAACTTTTTAAATTAAATGTATTGGTTAAGTCTCTCTGACTGATATATTACTATATAAAGGTGATAATTAAATTATTAATACTGAAATATCAGTGAGTAAGCAGCATGTTACTGCTGTAGCTGCTAGAGGCGGAGCTAGTTTTAACTACTTTATAGTTTCATTGACAGTAACACCAGATAAATCTGAGGGGACTTGTGGAAAAACTGCCAAGACAATTCTGACCTTAAGTAATAAAACTTTGCTGGGTTGTTGGTCATTTTATTCCATTGCAACAGGGAGAAATTAAAAAAAAAAAGTCTAACAAGAGTGAAAGCATATTTATACTATGATGGTTAACACAAAACTCATTTTAACTGGTTCCCTCAGAATGGCCTTAAAGATTTCAATACCATGTAAGAAATGCTAGTCCTACTTTCCAAAGATGAACAGATTCCTCGAGATGAAAAGACAGTCCCGAAAATGGATCTGAAGCATTCTTGACCAGATCAGTAAATCTCAGTACACATTCCACACATTGACAAATGAGCCACCTTGGACTGCAACTCCACACCTAACATGGGCCTCAAGTCCATATTTTAAACCATAGTTATGTTACACACTCATGTCTGATCACAAAAAACACTGACCAGCCTGTAACCCTGAGCACAAAAGCATTATCTTTCCCTAAAAATGATTACACATGTAGTTAATTGGTCATGGACAGAAGATTACCAGCTCATTAAATGACCTAAATGCTTATAGTCAAGTTTGTTTTCACATAATGTCAGATGATTAATGGAAGATGAAACAAATAAAAACTGACAAATATGTTCTCAGTTTTCTGATTTTTTTCTTCCATCTTTGATTTTTGGTGAGACATTGGATCATTTGGACACAGCTGCTTATTTTTTCATGTCCCTGGTTTCACATTAAAAGCAGTCACCACAGTCATATCAAAGCATCATGATAAAGTTAAACAGCATTTTCCCTTAAATTTGACTAAAACATTATTAATAGTACTAAAATACCCGCCATCCAGAAGTTATTTTGAAGTTACAATCACACTTATGTTAAAAAAATATTATTACAGTTTAGTATTTCGAAATCAGTTATTTGCAGTATTTTCCAACAGAGTGATTCATAATGCTAGAAATGTTAGCTGTAAAAATACAAATATTATAAATACAGAATATCGCACACATAGAAGTTGTAGTAGTAGGAAAATCTAGTATTAATACATTTAAAGTGCATAAAATTTAGAAAGGCTTTATGAACAAGTCCAGTAGTTTAAAGCGATCTAAGTCCTTCTCAGAAGGAAAAAAAGACAGTACACACAGTATGGAAAAACACCACAGGTGACCAACAATGACTAGTTTGGTTTAAAAAATACTTGAACACTCCTGCTTCTTAATGGTTTTACGAGTTTCAGATTGTCAACAAAAGGACACTGTCAGCAGGTCCACAGAAGCTCCCACAATGTAGTGTTTTCACAGTAGAAAAAAAAAGAAAAGAAATACAGTCTGCAATTCTAATATTAGGCTCCTGCCTCACACATGCGTGGAGGAGTCAGGAGGTGAGTGGGCCAGGAACACCCCCTCATTGAAATTACTGGAGAAGCTGGTGTGGTAGCTGGGGCTGCTCCTGCTGCCGCTGCGAGGCTGAGGTCTGGACACTGGGGATCGGGAAGTTGAGAGACTCTGGGCCTGGCACAGCTTCTGAATCAGGAACCGTTTGTCACGGCCCTCCTGAAAAAAAAGGCACAAAGATAGCAGATCAGTTTGTAAGTGCATAACTCAACCGATGCAACCTTGACCACAATCAAATCTAAAGCTTGACTGAACCTACCATAGCTAGCTGCTCCCTCAGTTGGTTAATCACTCTCTTGTGTGCTCCAGCTAGTGCAATCACATAAAACATGGCCAAACTGTGGAAAAAAAAACATGGACATGATGCTTACAATTACAGCCAGACAGGTAAAACAAATACAAATAACAAATATTAGTTAAAGGCAAAAATAACTGACTGAAACACATACCATGTAACCACAAAGAAGGAGACAGCAAAGGCCTCTGATGAGAGAGCGAAGAGGAGTTTTTGTGCTCCACTGGGTAGCTGGGATACTGTAGCTGGAAGCACCTCCCAGGTGGTATTGTAATTAACAAACGGTCCACAAGCATGGGAACAGTTTATTCTGTGCAAAAAGGAAAGGCAAATGAGTGCATACATGTAAGCAGCAGCATTAAGTGGTCCAACACTTACTCATATTCAGAAATTAAACTATTAACAAAAGTTCTCTCTACACACAGATTTAAAGAAGTAAAATTTTGACCTCTGACACGAAAACTTTTCCTTTACGATGTTTTAAAGCTCCAGAGAAGCTCCAGAGAAGCTTAGAGAATATTACAGGACAGATTGAAATCAAAACATGAAATGACCAGTACTCACTGCGCTACACTAACTGTGACAGGCAGACAGGCAAGAGCCAGGCCAATCAGCAGCACGACGAGGAAGAAGAAGTTGGAGCTAGATGCTCGGAACGGACGCGTGGCCGGACGGCAGTTGTTGATTAATGACACCTAGCAAAGAAAAGGAGCAAAAACTGTGATGAGTCACTAAAATATTCCAACTGCCAAGATCAGAGTTCCTATTTCTGATAATGCAAGGAAAGAAATACTTGTACGTCAAACCAAAACTGACCTTTTTGATGTAGAAGATAAAGAAGTATTTGATGGTGCAGATGGCAGGCAGCATCGGGCAGTAGAACGTGCCGATCCAGCAGATGGTCTGACCGTACACGATCTCTAGCACGTTCTGAGGAATCGCAAACTCCTGCTGGCCCCACCACTTAGCCAGGCCACAGTCACAGTTTTTCACAATCAGCCTGGGTGGGACATGGACACACAAGGACACAGTTAGAAATACGGGCGGGGAAAAAAAAGAGAGAAAATTAAACTAGAGGACATGAAAGAAAATTGACTGGTATGATAAATCCCACTGTGTTACACTAAAAAAAAGGGTGGTTTTCAAACTGAGACTTAATGGATTTAACAAAGTGAAAAAAAAACAAAACTCTACTACAGTAAAAACTTTGCTAAAGTAAACAGATGTATTTTTGTATATATTATTATTGTCTACATTTATTTCAAAACTTAAAGTAATTGCTTGAGTTAAAGTCACCTCCTGTGACTGATAAAGACACTGTAATAGATTACATTATTAGTAATGTTGCATCACTGCTTCAGCATCATTTTATTAAGAGTGCTGCTCCAGCCTCACTAGTTTTAATTTTCAGTTTGTTTAGTCCAGCTTTTTCTCAGCCAAAGAATCACCAAATAAGTTTGAAAGTCATGACAGAAGAAAAAACAAAAGTGCTAATAAGAAATGGAAGAAATTGGATAGATTTTTCTTGCTTTAGTCTCATTTTTAAACTTTTGTAAATATAGGACAATTTTAACTCTTTGGGCTTCAAAAGAATTGTTTAAATAAGTTTCACGAGGAGGCAGCTACACACTGCTTTTCCATGGGACTCAAAAGGCAAACTGTATTGAATACACACTAGCTTAACTCACCAAGGTGTTGTTATTTCACAAACTCTAAAAAAATCATGGATTTTAAATCTTAGATCTCAAATGCAGTCAAGTGAAAAGTACAATATTTTTCTCTGAAATGCAGTTAACTAGAAATATTAGGTAGCAAAAAATAGAAATACTCTAAGGACAAGTGCAAGATAACACAATTTAGGATGATCAATGTTTTTATACACAACTAGACAAAATAAACTTGAGGTGATGAAGATTTCTTTTACTGTAGTAAAGTGAGGACATACTTGCGGGGAAACTCCACAAAGATGGTGACGGCAACGATGGTGATGAAGTCAAAGATGGTGAGTTTGTACATCTCCTGGCCCACACGGGTCTCCCAGCACTGGTGACGACAACAAGGACATACACAGATTCATATAGAAAAAGCTTAGTTCTAAAAACAAGATTAAGCACGATTTGTTTTTAATCATGTTTTACTACACATACATAAAGCAGCTTTAGAAAAGATATTACACTTGAGATGAAACCTTAACTGACAGACAAATGGATTGAAAAGCAAGTTATTAGACCACCAAAATAAGCGCATACCATTGCAGTTACACTTCAAAAATAAAACCTTAAGAGCTTTAAGACCCTTTAGATGGAGAATTATTATATGGATCTGCTGACATATAGATAAGTGTGAGTTTGGCACTCGCATCTGTGCACTGCACCAAAGAAACTATCATATCTTCTATTATAACAAAAGAATACAACTCACGGAGTAAAGTACGTGGTTGTAGCCACAGATACAGGGTTCCTCTTCACATTTAGTGATCTGAGACCACAGTGAAAAGAGCAAAACTCCGATACTCGTCAGCCGCATGAAGACACACCTGTCAATAAATAAAAGAAAGGAAGGGAGAGAGAATTAGAACTACTTTCCAAGTTAACATCACGGACAATAAACAAGATTGAATCAATACACTCACTGTACCTCATGAGAGTGAAGCGGATCTCAAAAGCAGGGGAGTAGTCCTCGTAGTTGATGATAATGGAAAAGAGGAGGGGGGTGATGAAGTTGGCTACCGTGATAACAATTGAAGGCAGATATTCATAGATGAGATCCACAATGAAATTCACCTGCAAAACAGCAAAGGTAACATTAGGGTGTTTGCTTTGTCGTCTGTGGCTTGTATTTTAATTATTTAAAAAAACCTATTAAAAGGCAAAAAGAATCAGGAGCTCAATTTTTATCAAATACTTTCACAGAAGCAGGTGAAACATGCTGTAAGTTTCTCACGTTACAGGGTCAGAATAAGAACAATAAGAGACAGAAATGGAAGAAAAATGGCATGACTGTAACAGAGAGCACATCAGAAATATTTCATTACCTTTATTTTTGTCATTTGTGCTTCCTGAGAGAAGATGGTGGCTATGTAAATAGAGTAGAAGCAGCCAGCCAGGACACCGATGACAAAAAGGTTGAGGATGAGGCGCAGGAAGTAAATCCGACACTTCTCTTTGCGGGTGCGATCTGCAATTTTCTGTTTTATCCTCTCCTCCTCCAAATCTGTCTGAGGTCACACAAATATGCAATTTTAAAAAAAGAGGCAAGTAAACAATTAAAAGAATGGAAGCACTGGTTATACTTTAAATAAAACAAACATTTAAAACACAGTACATGAGCAAATTATTCACAAAGAAAACCACATTTTTCAAAAAAAGTGGCAAGACCTTTTTTTTAATTATTTAAAAAGCAGAGTCGACATCCATTAAGATCCATAAAAATCTTATTGTCCTTTTCCTTAACCATGATTGAGCTGCTGAAGACAGCTCCAGTCAGTCTATTGGTTTATTTTAAATTGGATTTCTCTGTCTTTCCTTAGAGCTTCTGGCAAATCCTTGTATACAAACACATAAAAATGAACCAACCTTGAGCTCATAGAGCAAACTGCTTCGCTTCAGCCTTGCTGCGTTCACGTTGGTGATGCAGAAATCCCAGCCAGCAAAAATCTTATTGCAAAAACTCTGAAAGCGATCCTCATCCTGAACCAGGTTGCGTTTAAATCCTCTGGCAGACCTTGAAGAAAAGAAACACTTTAGACCACTTCCCTTCAGATAAATGCATGTCTTCATTAGTTTGTCTTTTCAGTACCTTTTAACAATCCAGATAAGACTGAGGAAGAGATACGCAATGGTGGACAGCAGGTATGCCAGTGCCAAATTATAAGTGATGTTTGGAAAATGGATTTTGTCTGCCTTGTAGTAGCCGTAGAAAAGATAGGTCTGTTCCAGAAAGCCCTGTATGTGAAGCACAATTGGTGAGTGCAGAATCAATAATAAGACTTTCAATTTTCTCCAGGGAACATTAGGTATAAGGACTTACTCCACCAGAGAGTAGATCTGTAATGTGTTCATGAAAGATGACAAGACCTAGACGGGAGCTGCTTGGATACACGGTGCACACCCCAGCTGTAGGAAAATATAGTGAAGATGAGTTTTAGACCGTTTTGCAAACAGCTTACACTCATGCTGAAACAAACAAGTGTCTCTGTACCATCATTCAAGTTGTAGGTGATATTTCCTGAAGCATAAGGAGCGATGATGATGGGCAGCATGACGAAGCTGAACTTTATCAGAAAGATTATCAAGTTCAGCACCACGAGAAAGCGAAGGAAGGAGAAGTACGACAGGATCCCAGTGCCGAACATCCCTAGTGAATAAAGGAGTGACACGAGAAAAACTCTAAACAAAACCCTCATTGGTACATTTTCCTTCACAGTACATTTATTGTAGTACAAAGTACATTGATTGCAGTAGGTATTTCCACACAGGAGTCAATAAATGCCTCTAATGCTAAGGATTCTGTTTTCTTATCATCTCGTTATCATTCTCTCACCTTCTATCAGGTGGATGTCCCCCCTCCAGAGCTTCATGGAACTCATCCACTCCTGGGCATCATCCCTCAGCCTCTTCAGATACCTGTGACTGCTTTGCCTCCACTGTCTCCAGCTGCTGAGCTCCCGAGCCTCTTCCAAGCGCTGTGTTCTAACGAGTTATACAATCAAACACACTGCTTGTAAAGAATTTAACTCATGATAAGCCACTTTTTTAAAAACTCTAAATTATCTTTCACATAATAATAACAATTAATTAGATTTATGTAGCACTTTTCTAACTCAAGGAGGAATTCACAAGGCATACACTGTCAATTATTCATTCACACACATTCATTCTGGTGGTCGTAAGCTAGGATTGTTGCCACAGCTGCCCTGCCCCGCCTGCAGCCCCTCTGACCAGCACCTCAAACAATCCATTCATACGCATTAACACCAGGCAAGGTGGGTGAAGTGTCTTGCCCAAGGACACAACAACTATGACACAGATTACAAGGCGGAATTGAACTGCAGACCTTCCCATCATTGACCAACCCGCTCTACCACCTGAGCCACAGCCGCCCAACATGTGGATCCGTTTAATATCAATAAGGTGTTTCCTACTTGTCCCTGCGTTTCTCAGCCATGGGCTTGGCCAGCTCTCTGATGTCCTGCTGCTCTATCTGACTCTTCGGTTTGTCCAAGGGTCTGGTGAAGGAGCTCATTCCCCATTTCCCGCTGCTAGAGGAGCCAGTCCTCCCTCTGGAGCTGCTTCTTCGTTTGGTGCCGCTAACAGACGACTTTCTGCGGTACAGTAGGGACTGGTAGCTGGGGAGCTGGTCCAGCAGTGGGTTACTGGTGATTCGTCCGCTGCGATCAGTGTAGAACACTTGGAAAAGTGGAGAAAATAATATCCAGACCTTACAATGCAAACTTATACAATATGGTTAAAAAATACAATGAAATTTATTTCTTCCACAACTAAACTGTTGCAAATGTCTAAATACTAATAACATGATATTTATGAGGCTTTTCAGTTGCTAATATTAGAAAAAAAAAACAAGACTGGAAATAACAAATAATAATAATAATAAATGTCACAGCATTTCAGCTCTGCTAAACTCTTAATGCATCTGGTTGTGGTGGACGATCTGTGGTCTAATAATCCCCACAGTTTTATGACTTTTAGTTCAATTTAGTTCTTGCATATTCCATGGTTCAAAATAGTTTCCCATTTTTTGTTAATATCAGGCTGTTTTATGCTTTTCAAGAATACTTGTGATCTAATCTTTGCCTGCATCTATAAGACAGACCTTACATATATATATATATATATTCTTAAAGAAGGATTTGAATTGTTTATTTTTGAGATTGTATTCACATTTCACTATCTTTAGTGGGACTGAAGACATCTGTGTTACTCGGTGTAACAAAAGCTGGACAAAATAATCTATATAACTCTGAGGATATTAAAAAAAAAAAAAAAGTGAAGAAGAGAGATTTGACAATATTTATAATGTCAAAGGGTGCCCATCGTGTGAGCTTATGATGAATGGACTGCACCTTTTACAGCTAGCATTCACTCCCTGCGTCAGACTTCCCAGAAAAGAAATGTTATGGATGAATTTACCAGCAGTCGTTACAACTGACTTTTCCCAGATAAAAACAAACAAACAAACAAAAAAGTTTAAACATACAGTAACACAAGACGTCGCTTCTTGTGGTAGTTAAACTACAGACTGAGTACATTTACGCCTCCTTGTTGTATTTTTCCAGCAGCGGACAACAGCTAACCAAGAAGCAGACTCAGCAAATAAAAATGCCGAGACCGGAGTTGCAACACAATAAAGAGACTTAGACAAAAAAAAAAGAAGACACGAACGAAACTTCCCGTGAGCTTCCAAAGAGCTTTTCTCAAATCATTAACCAGCAGGACACACTTGTTAGCTTAATGTTAGCCGCTGTTTATCCGTGGTTAGCATTACTAGCTGCTGAGCTAACGCCGAGCAAAGTTTGGTTGACTCTTGGAGCGAAGTGTCGCCCAAACTTCATATTTACCTGCGTCGTTGTCCATCGTTCCCTTTTCCCCCAAAAGAACAAAATGAAGTTATTTATTGGATTGTATTGGCGTTAGGTAACATTTAACCTCGCAGAACTTTGTCTAGTGTTTGGGAGCGAACTCCCAGCTGTCAGGAAGATAGCAGCCTTTCCCAGAGTTGACTTCCTGATGAGGAAGCAGTTCCAACCTCCAGCAGCTACAACCAAACCTGAGTACTTTTCTTCACAAACTAAGGTTGCAGATATGTTATTATGCCTTATTCTATTTTATGAAATCGTTTTTAATTTTTATCACTCATGTTATTGCTTTTAAATCACTCAGCTATAGTGTATTTACAAAAGCTGGATAAACAAGATGGACAGATAGATGGAAGATAAATGAGAGGAAAAAAGCAAAACAAGCAAATTAAATTTAATTTAGTTATTATATAGTTATTATAAAACTTAACGTAAAATCTTTAAAAAAAGGGGGGGATCTTACTTAATGAGTCATTTGGGTCCATACAAACTTCCTAGCATACAGTAACCTTTAGGGAACGTCCAGGGAACGTTTATTGAGTGTACTGTTTATTGAACCTTCAAAGAACCTTCCCCAAACATTCAACGAACCTTTAGAGGACGTCAACAGAACACTTCCCAAACAATACCTGAATGTTAATGTTTGCTGGGTTACTCATGCATGAATTAAACTATTTTCAAATTTTGATGTTGGTCTTATGTTTAACTTTTATACAACAACTACAAAAAAAAATATTTTTATTTCTTTTTTTCTTTTTTTTTTTTTTAAAGGGGTCTAATTATTGCAAATTAATTTAAAATGTATCGGTCCAGGACAAAAGTTACAACTCTGTTGAACTTTATGTTTACTGATTGTTAAATTACAGAATTATATCAAATCACCATTTACCAAGCAAGCTCATCCTGTAGTAACATATAGTCTGGTAGACACATATAGAGCACTTTTATACTGCTGCTTATTTTGTGTTACTGTATTGGATGATGTTGTACATAAGTTATTAGAAGTCTAGGTTAGATTATTAGAATCATTTATGGTGACATATTGCAGATAGAGTATAAGTTTTTATCATTTAGTTCATTGTTTTTGTTGGAACTTATGGATGCGACTGTTATGGTAGTTTTCATGGTTAAAAAAAAAAAAAAAAGCACAAATGCTTATTTTGTATTGCCAAAATATTACATCAACATACCTTAAAAACCTTAAAAAAAACCTTATACATCTATTCTGAGTGGGACCTGTGAAAAACACAATTTGCAAATGCATTTTCTTGTCAGGACTTCTGGCTTGTTGAGTATGTATGTATGTATGTATGTGTGTATGTATGTATGTATGTATGTATGTATGTGTGTATGTATGTATGTATGTATGTATGTATGTGTGTATGTATGTATGTATGTATGTATGTATGTATGTATGTATGTATGTATGTATGTATGAATAATTCTGTAGGGTGTTTATCTTCATTAATTATCTGAATTAGTCAGGTAATTTGTTATTTGAGCATATAATATTGTAGGATCCTATCTATAATAACTAATTAGTCAGGTTAATTTGCATAATGAATAACACTGTAGGGTTTAATTTAATATTGTCAGGTTAGTTTGTATTTCTGTAGGGTTCTAAGTTTCATTATTAAATAGAAAAAAATGCATAATTCTAAAATATTACAGAGCGTTAACCGTCATATTTAATTCAGTGAGGCATATTTGTATATTAAATAACACTGTAGGGTCTTAACCTTAACATTTAAACTTGTAAGATACATTTTCAAGGCCAGTCCTGTTTCTTAACTTGAAAGTACTTTGACTCAGCAGCTGTTGTTTTTATCTGTGCCATATAACTACCGGTGACTTAACTTGACCTGGTTTGATGTGACTATCCACTATAGACTTCACTTTGCTAGGACTTTGTTAACCCTTGTTCTTAAAACTGTTACATAAATGAAGTTAGAATTATTAGTATCATTGTTAATATTGTTATTATTTATCTGTAAATGAGTTCAGCATCACCACTGGCCAACCTGCATTCAACTGAGCTCTTGGACACACACCATCACTCTTAAAGAGAATGCCAATTTAAATTGTTAATCCAAGAGGTTCCACACAGGATTTGCATGTACTTTTCCCAAGAGGTGGACTTTTACCTTTATTAGCTCAGCTCACACTTCCTGGTAGGCAGACTGTCTGTGAGTTATCTCTCTGACGGTGTTTCTAAGACTGGTTCATTCACAGGTTCTTCTCAGGACTCATGGACTGCTAGAAGGATTCCTACAACATTTTATCGAGACTCAATTCTCTATATTTGCTCTTCAATAACACACAGGTGAGCCAAATTTGATAACGGAACAAGACATAGTGTAAGAAGATGCTTTTATCTTAACAGTTAAGTCGAATCCAAATCCAATTACACAGCACTAATCCGTGTTCTTATTTCCATACTTGAGTTTTCAGTCTCTTGTTCTCTGTTTATTGTTATTCAGATTTGCCTTTTTTCTGTCTTGCTTTACTGTAATGGCTTTGTGTGGGAAGCATAGAGCTCCTACATGTGATGGAAACCAAACCTCTTTAATGAATTAATGATGAAAAGATGACGACGGGAACCAGAGGTTAAATTACACATGCTTCCCTCCGACAATACAGCCATCACTCTGCCGAAAACCGCTTGGCATAAACATGTGATGCTACGTATTTAGGTTACATTAAAACTATAAAAGAGAGCAAATCAACGATGAAGGCAAACACTCTTATCTGTCTCGTGACAGCTTTAGGCACAATAGTATAGTCACATGTTTGCTTATTCAAGTATTATTCAAGTGTTCTGCTGTGTTCTACTCTACATTAGCAAAGCTGGACTGAAGCAACAACATACTGAAGACAAAGTGAGCTGAAGAATCTTTGCTTTTTCTAAAAAAAGGATCAATTTGAAGAATCTCATGACAAGTTACAGCAACGGAGGATTTTTTAACCATGCCTACCATGACAGCGAGACTCTGGAAATGGATAGAAGGTATGTGGGGATTTCATAACAGGAAATGTGGTTTATTCTCCAAATGTGCAACATCTTATGCTAAAAAAAAAACCCTGACAATTTATCAAAGAATAAGCTAGTGAAAAAAATTGTGCTGTGAGTTTTTCATATTTGTGGTCTGAGGGAATACATTGTACTGAACAGAGTGTCCTCAAGGAACGTACATGGATGGATGTGATAGTTTTCCTGGCTTTATCCCAGGCTGGTCCAATCGAATTTTACAGTTTTGGTTATATTTTAAAGAAGTTTTTTCTGAATGAACCCTTATTGTAAGTTAGCTCTGCATTTTTTTGTGGAATCATATGTCTCTAAAATCACCTGTCAGAGAATAAAACACCTCCACAGACAAGAATTCAAATTCCAGTTCCTGGTAGCACCAGTATTATTATATGTCATAAACACCAATGACCTGAATGATAAGCATTGCACTGTGCACATTATTTATTCTGTGTATGTCCTTTAGGCATTCCAGTAAAACACACCACACTAACCCCTATGCCAGCCATGACCCAGCCTCATGGGGAGAGAGCAGTGAGTTTCCCGGTCAGACCCACGGTTATGATGCTGTAGGGAGGGCACCCGGGGGTGGCTGGCAGGGGGAGAGCTGGAGGGGGAGAGAAAGCCTCCCCACGCGCCCCGACTCCACACGCCAGCATGACCGCAGTGAGTGGACATTTATTTACAACAATTTTAACTCTTACTTTCCTCATGAACTAATACAATGTATGGTAGAAAAACATCAGTGTCTGTTTTGTATGTGCCTCCATGTGTTGCTAAGTGACACTTCTGTTGACACTTCCTCTCACTTTTTACAAAAACATTTCAGATCACAGTACATTCCGCACCGACCGGGACTCGCAGTACGGTCGGGCTCCACCTTATCAACTTCCTTCTTCAGTGTCAGGTAATTGTTTAACCACATATACTCCGTTGACAGTAGTTTCCTTCTACATTTGCATGGCTTTTCAAAGTCACTTTAACTCTCACATTGTAGACATAGCAGTGCTAAACACACATGAATCTGTAAACACATTAATTTCATATAAGTATTCAGGTCTTGTTGACTTTTATTATCAAGCGACCAAAATCATATTAGATGATTATTGATGGAGGCTGTAGACAACAGTACAATAAATGACAAGGAAGTTGGCAATGAAAATTAAACACAAGGCAGGGGATTGTTGGGGTAGTGTTAAATTCATCTGACGGACATAAACTAATGGTTGTGTGCAAGCTTATGTAAAAAGAAAACTCAATCCGAACGTCGGGCTTTTGTATTTGCATTGCGCCCATTGTGCTGTATTATAATTAAACTCTTGTATAATTACTGATTATGTCTCTCGGTTCGTGACATGTTTACTTTTTTGGCCAGACAAGCAGCTTTGTGCAATGTCAGGCTTTGACTACAGTTTGGTTTGCCATGAAATTTAATACAGACATTCATGATTCCCATAATGACTTTTTCCATTTCATTTATTCACTTATTTGACAGACACAGCTCCTTGATTGACAGAAAAAATACTTTAAAAAGGCTAGGGTTTGCCCAAGATTTTGATCTGTTGTGCCTCTCCAGTTGAAAATGCAACTGAATAAAATGACATCAAATAAAATTCATGGTATGCAACATAATTATTCTGTATGAATAATACATACAGACTAATATGTCAACAATACCTGCAAACTAACAATATTTTCACACCTTTACTTTATGTTTTATGCTAATTCTAAGCAGTTGTGAGCAAAAGTTTATATACATTGTAAAGACCACGTTTATCATGGCAGTCTTAAGTTAAATCCATGTATCTTTTTCACAAAAAACAAAACAAACAAATTCTTTTACAGATTTATTATAGATTTATAGGAAATATGACAAATCTGCTGGGTCAAAAATATGCATACAGCAACTTGAACTATCAGTTTTGATGATGTAGAAAGCTGTATTAATGAAAACACTTTGTGGCATGACCTCTTTACTCGAGTAAACTGAGTGATTACATTTGACTAAAGCTGATTTTAGGTTTTCCCAAAGAATATCCTCCTTCTTCATTTTTCCACACATTTTGTGTAAAGCACCGATTCCAGTGGCACCAAAACAGCCCCAGAGCATAATGCTGCCACCATCATGCTTGATGGTAGGTTTGGTACTGTTGGAGTTAAAGGTCTCCCCTTATCTCCTCAAAACATATTTCTGGTCATTCTGGCCAAATAGCTCCATTTTTTTTTTTCATCTTTTTTTTTTTCATCTGACCGTTGACAGTTGATTTGGGATCTGCAGCTGCTTTGAAATGGCTCCATGTGACTTTCCTGACTTGTTCATATCAATGATTTGCTTTTTCAGAGCTGTACTGAGCTCCTTAGACTTTCCCATTGTTGTGTTTGTGGCTGAGACTGATTGGTGTATCAAATGGGGCCTATTTAAATTGCCTTAGAGAAGTTAGTGGCTGTAGTCAACTGTAGTAACTTATGTCAAGTTAACAGGCCATGTCATTAAAAAAAAAAAAAAATAAATAAATCCATTAACAAAGCTTTCCAGACCAGAAATACGTTTGGAAGAGAGAAAGAACACCATACCTACCGACAAACATGGTGGTGGTAGCATTATGCAGAGCTGTTGTGCTGCCGGTGGACTGAAATAATGAAGAAGGAGGATCATGTCATTGTTATGGAAAACCTAAACTCTGCTGTAGTCAATTGTATTCACTTGAGACAGGTTAAGAGGTTATGCCATTAAAAAAACAACAAAGAACACTGCTTTCTACATCACCTAGACTGATCATTTAAGTTGCTGTATGTATATTTTTGACAGAGCAGATTTTGTCATGTTTCCAGAGGACCTATAATAACTACATGAAAGAAAGAAATACATGATTTGCTTCTTTTTTTGATTGCTGTTGTTGATTTTTTTGGTAAAGACTATGAAATACATGGTTTTTACATGTATGTGTATACTACAAAAAAATCTGTAATTTTATTGACTAAACAGATTTTTTTTAAAATAACAGAAATATCAATAGAACTACAAAAGAAAAACACTAAATTATCAATTTAAAAACTCCAACTGTGAATCACCCTAATTTTAATACCATTTTTTGATATTAAAAGATTATTACAATACTTTTGTGTATAAAATGATGTTCCAAACTAATTCCCCCTAAGTTGTTTGAATAGAACTGAACTTAATTAATTATCAAATGCTATTAGACCAACACACCAAACTCATTGTAAACATTGTACCCACCAACCTCTTAACATGTTAGTATTGTCATTGTAAACATTATCATGCAACTGACAGTAGTTACAGTAGTGACACAGCTGGCGCGATGCCAGTTATATGGATGGTGGCGAGATAGCTTCACTATCACAGGTTTCACCAGACTGAAAGCTGAGGTAAAGACAAGTGTAAAAAGTTGAACAGTCGTGCGTAGTCCACTGTAAACTATAAACAGTCCTACTCATATCTTAAAGTTATGTGCATCTAATCAGGAAAACGTAGAGAACAGAAAGTAATGAATAAAACCACCTGCAGGTGTTACACCGGTTAATAATTTGACAGCTGCCACCCTGCTCATGTATTTCTTCTTTTTTTTTTTAGAATTAGGAAAATCTATAATAATCACAACCAAATAGAAAAACACATTTTCTTCTCATTCATCCAGGTAACATGACAATGAGATGGAGAAGAATAGCAGTGAGAAGGATGAGCATGTTTCCTGACGCAGATCCTGCACATGTAGCTTTCACAGAGGATGCCATCAAGAATGAGATGGAAAATGGTAAGTGCCCATGGCGGGTGTCGGATTATACCTGTTGGATACGTACAATATGAGGCGGGACACCTGATATGCATTCTGGATGGCAGTTCTTGCAAAGATAACAGGCAACACTTTGTCATGTCATCTTGTGTCTGACAGAGGAACAAGATCTTGTCAAAGAACTTGTTGCTATGTCCACACGAGACCGGATCCGGACCATTCGGGATCTTCTAATGAGCTTTGAAGAGAAGAAGCATATCAGGTGTGTATAAAGTCACAAACAGTTGAAGACGATAAGCGAGGCCTTGTCAGTGTTGCTTAAGGCATTTAGTTAATCATTACACCCTGCTGGGAACCATAGAATAAGCAAAGACTTGGAAGTATTTAGAGTGAAGTCTGGTGGTGTTGCAATATACTGTAAGTCTTTGGAGGAAGACTTATATGTTAGCAAACATACTGCTCTCTTCTTATACAAGAAACTATGAAATGAAAGTCCAAAGGTTTTTCTGTAGACTACAGAGTTGTGTCATTGTTGCAGATTAGAGGATTGTGGACTTTAAAGAGTTATGTCATTAACATCAATTTGTCTTATAACTTACCTTCATAGGAGACAAGTTGAGGCATTAAAGTCTTCCTACAAATCTCGGCAGTTCACACGTTTGGCAGATTTCTCTGAAAATGTTTCACTGGTGAGCGTTTCATCGATAATTTTTAAAAAAATGCTGCAACTTAATCATCATAATCTGTGCCTGTATTATATGTAACAAGCTGTTCTTTCAGTCTGTTCGAAGGGCCGGTTACACTATAAAGTCAACCAGGCAGACCCTGGAACTGTGGCAAGGCATCATGAAAGAAATTGGTGGAAAGTTTGGCTCCAGTGTGCTCTCCTATTTCGTATTCCTCAAGTGGCTTCTCATGTTTAACATTTTCTCCTTCCTGGTCAACTTTGGCTTCATCACCATCCCTCTGCTTGTTCACGACCCCTCACCCAATATACCTCAGAACGTGAGCTTCAGAGGACTGGAGCTATTGTCTGGAGCTGTAAGTGGAGGCTCTTACCACATCTCTTACTTTCTTTTAAAGTCACAGCCATCCCTATGACCACAAAGATACAGTATATCCATTCATTTTTTTTATTTATTGTATAATTTAAAGACACTGTAAAGTACACTGCTCAAAAAATAAAGGGAACACATAAACAACACAATGTAACTCCAAGTCAATCACACATCTGCGAAATGAACCTGTCCAGTTTGGAAGCAACACTGATTGTGAATTAATTTCACCTGCTGTTGTGCAAATGGAGCAGACGACAGGTGGAAATGAGAGGCAGTTAGCAAGACAACCCCTGTAAAAGAGTGGTTCTGCAGGTGGTGACCATAGACCATTTCCCTGTTCTCATCCTTTCTGGCTGATGTTTTGGTTACTTTTGCATTTTGTCAGTGCTCTCAGCCCTAGAGGTAGCATGAGGTGGTGTCTACAACCCACAGAAGTTGCTCAGGTAGTGCAGCTCATCCAGGATGGCACAGCAATGTGAGCTGTGGCAAGAAGGTTTACTGTGTCTCAGCACAGTGTCCAGAGCATGGAGGAGATACCAGGAGACAGGCCAGTGCATCAGGAGATGTGGAGGGGGCCATAGGAGGGCAACAACCCAGCAGCAGGACCGCTATCTCCTCCTTTGTGCATGGAGGAACAGGAGGAGCACTGACAGAACCCTGCAAAATGACCTCCAGCAGGCCACTAATATGCATATTTCTGCTCAAGCTGTTAGAAACAGACTCCATGAGGGTGGTATGAGGGCCTGACATCCACAAGTGGGGCTTGTGCTTACAGCCCAACACCGTGCAGCGTAATTGGCATTTGCCAGAGAACACCAAAATTGGCAGATTCGCCATTGGCGCCCTGTGCTCTTCACGGATGAGAGCAGGTTCACACTGAGCACATGTGACAGACATGACAGAGTCTGGAGACGCCGTGGAGAACGTTCTGCTGCCTGCAGCATCCTCCAGTATGACCAGTTTGGCAGTGGGCCAGTAATGGTGTGGGGAGGCATTTCTTTGGAGGGTCGCACAACCCTCCATGTGCTAGCCAGAGGTACCCTGACTGCCATTAGGTACCAGGATGAGATCCTCAGACCCGCTGTGAGACCTAATGCTGGTGCAGTAGGCTCTGGGTTCCTTCTGATGCATGACAATGTGGCTGAAGTGTGTCAGCAGTTCCTGCATGATGAAGACATTGATGCTATGGACTGGCCTGCCCGTTCCCCAGACCTGAATCCAACTGAGCACACCTGGGACATCATGTCTGGTTGCACCACAGACGGTCCAGGAGTTGATGATGCTTTAATCCAGGTCTGGGAGGAGATCCCTCAGGAGAATGTGGAGGCCACACAGACTACTGGGCATCATTTTGACTTGTCTTGAGGAATTTCCACTGAAGTTGGATCAGCCTGTAATGTGATTTCCCACTTTTATTTTGAGTATGATTCCAAATCCAGACCTTCATGGGATAATAATTTTGAATTGCGTTGATCATTTTTAGGTTACTTTATTCTCAACGCATTCCACTATGTAATGAATAAAATTTTTAACTCGAATTATTTAGTTCAATGAGATCTAGGATTGGCTGCAAGGTGGAGCAGTGGTTAGCATCGTTGCCTCGCAGCAAGAAGGTCGCCGGTTCGTGTCCCGGTGAGGACACCCAGGATCTTTCTGCGTGGAGTTTGCATGTTCTCCCCGTGCAGCGTGGGTTCTCTCTGGGTTCTCCGGCTTCCTCCCACAAGGTCCAAAAACATGTTNCACAGACCATGTCTCTGTTCTCATCCTTTCTGGCTGATGTTTTGGTCACTTTTGCATTTTGTCAGTGCTCTCAGCCCTAGAGGTAGCATGATGTGGTGTCTACAACCCACAGAAGTTGCTCAGGTAGTGCAGCTCATCCAGGATGGCACATCAATGTGAGCTGTGGCAAGAAGGTTTACTGTCTCTCAGCACAGTGTCCAGAGCATGGAGGAGATACCAGGAGACAGGCCAGTACATCAGGAGATGTGGAGGGGGCCGTAGGAGGGCAACAACCCAGCAGCAGGACCGCTATCTCCTCCTTTGTGCAGGAGGAACAGGAGCACTGCCAGAGCCCTGCAAAATGACCTCCAGCAGGCCACTAATATGCATGTTTCTGCTCAAACTGTCAGAAACAGACTCCATGAGGTGGTATGAGGGCCTGACGTCCACAAGTGGGGCTTGTGCTTACAGCCCAACACCGTGCAGGGTGATTGGCATTTGCCAGAGAACACCAAGATTGGCAGATTCGCCATTGGTGCCCTGTGCTCTTCGTGGATGAGAGCAGGTTCACACTGAGCACATGTGACAGACATGACAGAGTCTGGAGACGCCGTGGAGAACGTTCTGCTGCCTGCAACATCCTCCAGTATGACCAGTTTGGTAGTGGGCCAGTAATGGTGTAGGGAGGCATTTCTTTGGAGGGCCGCATAGCCCTCCATGTGCTAGCCAGAGGTACCCTGACTGCCATTAGGTACCAGGATGAGATCCTCAGACCCGCTGTGAAACCTAATGCTGGTGCAGTGGGCTCTAGGTTCCTTCTGATACATGACAATGCTAGGCCTCATGTGGCTGAAGTGTGTCAGCAGTTCCTGCATGATGAAGGCATTGATGCTATGGACTGGTCTACCCGTTCCCCAGACCTGAATCCAACTGAGCACACCTGGGACATCATGGCTGGTTGCACCACAGACTGTTCAGGAGTTGATGATGCTTTAATCCAGGTCTGGGAGGAGATCCCTCAGGAGAATGTGGAGGCCACACAGACTACTGAGCCTCATTTTAACTTGTCTTGAGGAATTTCCACTGACGTTGGATCAGCCTGCAATGTGATTTTCCACTTTTATTTTGAGTATGATTCCAAATCCAGTCCTCCATGAGATAATAATTTTGATTTACAGTACATTGATCATTTTTATGTTATTTTATTCTCAACGCATTCCGCTATGTAATGAATAAAGTTTTTAACTCGAATATTTTGTTCAATGAGATCTAGGATTGGTTGCAAGGTGGAGCAGTGGTTAGCATCGTTACCTCGCAGCTAGAAGGTCGCCGGTTCGAGGACACCCGGGATCTTTCTGCGTGGAGTTTGCATGTTCTCCCCGTGCAGCGTGGGTTCTCTCTGGGTTCTCCGGCTTCCTCCCTCAAGGTCCAAAAACATGTTGAGGTTAATTGGTGATTCTAAATTGTCCGTAGGTGTGAATGTGAGTGTGCTTGGTTGTCTGTCTCTAAGTGTAGCCCTGTGATAGACTGGTGACTTGTCCAGGGTGTCCCCTGCCTTTGCCCTAAGTCAGCTACCTGCCTACCAGCGACCCTAGAGAGGATTAAGCGGTGTATAGATAATGGATGGAATGGAGATCTAACATGTATTATTTTAGTGTTCCCTTTATTTTTTTTGAGCAGTGTATAATTTGGTTCCACAACAGAAAATATGACTCTTTAGAGCTTTTGATTCACTCTCACTTCTCTCATCTGTATTATTTTGGGCCACCCACTTGTTTTCACAGAAGAAAATCAAAAAAGTGACTAAACACTTCTTACCCAGCAGTAAATAGCTGATAGACACAATCACTGACTGACTAGTAAACATAGATAGGAATTTAACAGCTAAAGCATCAGATTTTTTTTCCCTCAGTAGGAGGTGGAGACCAAAACAGAGATAATCTAGTATGTCTGACAAAAATAGCAATGTTGCAGTATATTTGCTTTATGTATAACACATTGGATGCACACATTCAACAGCTTTATCAGATAATAGCAGGTTAGTGCACATTTTGTTGAGCTGGACGAAAATAAGCAAATTCAATTTGGATGCTGTATAATAATAAAGATTATTCAATACTTTTATGAGACTTTTGCTTTTACTTTTATTGTCTGCACTAAATGGAAGATTTTTGGCTTCTCCAGGGTTATTTTACCTACACTGTCATGTACTACGGTGGCTACAGCAATGAAACTCTTGAGGGTTTGGTGGAATACAACATGCAGCTGGCCTATTTCTTCACCATTGCAGTCTATATGGTACTGTGTGGAATCGCACTTATTTTCAGGTCAGTTCAGTCGTCTGTATGACTTTTCCAACAGTGAATCAACATATTTACCTGAACCTTCTGCACTCTTTATTTTCTTGGTTTATATAACTTTGACAATCTGATTTTTATCCTCACGCAGCATGGCAAGCTCATTTAGGCAGAACTACGTTGTAGCAGAGTCTGTTTCAAACAGCGCATGGCAGCTTCTATGCAGTTGGGACTTTAGTGTGACCAATGACAAAGCAGTGAGACAGCGCAGGAACAACCTCAGTGTCCAGCTCAAGGTAAATGATAGCGTTTCAAACCTATTTGTGTCAATGTAGACAACAAATCAAGAAAGATGAGGCATGTTGAAAGAATCATAGCTGTAAATGATATTTGGGCGGCTGTGGCTCAGGTGGTAGAGCGGGTTGTCCTCTAATTGCAAGGTTGGCAGTTTGATCCCCTCAACAATTGAAGTGTCCTGAACCTGAAGTTGCTCCCAATGGCAGGCAGCACCTTGCATGGCAGCTGTGTCACCATTGGTGTATGAATGTGTGTGTGAATGGGTGAATGAGAAAACATTGTAAAGCGCTATGTCAGTGCAGACCATTTCTGACAATTAGCTTTATGAGGTGAATTATGGTTTCAATAAGTGCCATTATCTGTCATCACCATGTTTACCCTCTTCTTCTCCAGGAATCTTTATCAGAAAAAGCCCAGAGGGAGCTTCCAACACGCTCTGAAAAGCTGAAGCACTTTGGGATTCATTTTGGCTCGTGGATTCTCTCCACTGGCTTGACTGTTGGCTGCGGTGCCAGCATCTACTATCTCTGTCGATACGAACAGCAGGTACAACAGTCAAGATCGACTAATTACGCTTCAAGTTCAATTGGAATACTTGTTTTTCTTGGTTGGAGTCTACATCCAACACAAAAATGTTTCCTCTTGTTCTGGGAAATGTAAGTCTTGTTGTCATTAAAACCAGTGTAACAGTATAAAAAAGTCATGCCTACACAGTTTAAAATCCACATCAATATGTGTCATAAGCTTACTGGATGTAATGTGTTGAGTCATTTACCAGAACAACGCTTGATTCATTTGTTGGTTGTTGTCACCTTTCGTCATGGAGGATTGATTATCTTTGAGGATAGATAACCTCTGTTATCTTTATAGCGGGCAACTGATACTGAAAACTGGTCTCTGAGTCAAGAGGCAGAGACTCTCCTGGTTCCCTTCGTGGTGTCTCTGATGAACCTGGTTATCCCGCTTTTCTACTCTCTCTTCAACAAGTTTGAACACTACTCCAGCCAGCGCACACAGATCTACGCTCTGGTGGTCAGGTCAGCTTGCAGGGTTACATGTGGTGCATGGCTTAAAGGACAAACAAGGACAATGTTTTTAGTTGTGTGCAGTTTTTTCTTTTTTCTTTTAATGTTAGAAAATATGCTTTTTTGCTGCCATTTAGATCAGATACTCTCTAGTATCTAGAGCCAGCAGCCACTTAGCTTAGCTTAGCATAAATATTGGAAATGGTTAGCTTAGCATAAAGATTGGAAATGGTTGACACAGTTTACCTGATGCTGCACAGATATATTTGTATATTTATGTATACATTTAAGTAAACATTCATATTTCAGATGTGCTATTAAGTGACAGTAGTGACACAATCGGCAAAGTTACAAGAAGCAAACATGATGCAAAGACTGATTTAATAGAACCCGTATTTATACTGATACATCATCTCATCTACTAAATCTACTCTCATCTTTTCCCATTTGCAGAAATGTCTTCCTCAGGATGGTCATTCTGGCTGTTTTGTGTTATTACTGGATGAATGTAGTGGCTGAGAAATTTTCGGTAGGTGTGACCAAAAGTAACCTTCTTTAAAATTCGTCAGTTGATCTATGCAGCCGTTCATTCATGACCATTGTTTTCCCGCCAGTGTTGGGAGTCCGTGGTAGGACAGGCTTTGTACCGTCTAGTCATCTTTGATTTTCTGTTTCTGATGTTGGGATCCTTCTTTGGAGAGTTTCTTAGCAAGTGAGTTACACAATTTCTAATTCACTTGTGCTCTTGTCAATTGTTTAAATGGGGAAATTTTAACTTAGCTGGAAACTATATTTTTAATTTCTGTGTAATAGCGTAATTGGGACCAGGTTACTACTAAGTCTGGGGATTCCGGAGTTTGACGTAGCCAGAAATGTCCTCGAACTCATCTACGCACAGACACTGGCCTGGTAAGAATGATTCACTCAACACTTGGTGCAGGATCAAACAGTGGCTCCATGGAATTTTGATCAGGTCTTGTGGTGACTCTCCTGGTTTCAGTGCCAATTTAAAATGAGATTATTGTCTATTTTCTCTCCCTAGGATCGGAATCTACTTCTCTCCTCTGCTACCTGCCATCCAGATTCTCAAATTATTCCTCTTGTTTTACTTAAAGAAGGTAAATGCAGGTTTTCAAGGCTTGGAGGTGACGCACTGCCCCAAGGCCGACACAATGCCACTGCTGCCAAAGCGGCTCCATATAGTCTTTAAGGCTCGTGTTACTCTATTTGAGCACTTAGGTCAATAATTAATTAAAATCCTTTCAGCACACGGTCTGCATGCTCTATTTTATGTCATGGAAAAGACAGCCAAGGTTTTATGGAGCAATCATTAGGCTTGAATTGCACCAGACAAGGTCAATCAATCCGAGAAAATTAAACGACTTCGGTATGATTTGTAATTTGATCCACGCTGGATGTGGTGTTGCTGAATGTTTAATGAACACACTGAATGACCTTTGCAGCAATGCTAGTCAAAGCGCTGATGTGTTTTTTTGTTTTTTCCTATGAACTAAAGTAAATGTGATATTTGGGGCAGAAACGCACTTTAAGCTTTAATAACATTCCATGAGTTTTTGCAAGAATACGTTGTGAATAATGGTGTGTGTGTATATATGGGGTTGTTCATGTGCTTTTTGTGTCTTTTAAACCACCCCAGGTCAGCCTGACCCAGAACTGCCAGCCTCCCCGGCGATCCGGCAGGGCAGCTCAGATGCAAACCATCTTCATCTTTCTGCTCTTCTTCCCTTTCTTCGTGGGAGCCCTGTCAATGGTTGCATACACTGCTTGGACGTAAGAGTGCACAAATTTAACACAGACAAACAAAATATACTCTACAAGATCTTTCCCTTCTGAGCAAGAATATGACAAAACCTGTCTTTGACACACGCTGCATTTTTCATCAACATAAAAAAAACTCACTCATTCTTGTTTTGTTCACCCTGTCCTGCTCTGCAGACTGAATCCCTCAGAGCAGTGTGGGCCTTTTCGGGGATTTAACAACACCTTCAGTGTGGTTGGAGTCTGGATGGCAGAGCTGGAAGAAATCTCTAGTTCCCAGTGGGCCGTCTGGATCTACCAAAATGTCATCAGGAGTGAAATCTTCTACTTCCTTGGCACACTTATCATCATGTAAGTGGAAACTGCAAAAGTTGCAAGCGTGCTGCATAGACTGTATTGTCCCTTAGTCCAATAAAATCCAGCTGTAAGCCATGTTTTGCATATATGTGTGTTCATGTGTGTAATCATGTGCATCTTTTGCATCTTTGTGTTATTATGCAAATCGGCGTCCTGGTCAGTGTCATCATATACATTTTCTGGCATGTCACTAAAGGCCGCCAGGAGCTTATCCGCCTCCTGAGACAACAGATTATTAATGTGAGTTAAGTATGTGTGTTTGTTGACCTTTGTGAATAAGTGCCTGCTCGTTTAAGATTGGACTCACTTGAAAGTCACATTTTGTGCCTTTTTTGAAAAAAGTTTCTTTCTCATTTCTTCTGTTTCTGTCTCTATTCTTCTCTCACCAGGAGGGGAAAGACAAATCCTTCTTGTTAGAAAAGCTGCATGACCTCCAAAAATCTAACCTGAGCAGAAATCCCAAACAAAAGAAACAAAAAGAGGTTTGCTGTGATAGTGTTTTCATGCTAACTCCACTTTCCATCCAGACGTTTGTTGTCAAACTCATCGAATGTTTCCTCTTTAGCACACAAAACGGCATTTGGATGACCGCTCCTCGAGCAGTCACTCCAGCTCTAACGCCATGGTTCAGGCTTTACTCGCTCGCCAGCAATTCGAAGGGGAGGAGAGACGCAACGCTGGTGGAGTGCCCGTCCCCTCCGACATCTCAACCTCCAGCGCGGTGATGCAGGCCATGGTGGCCCGGCAGAGAGCTGAGAGAGAGCAAGATGATTTGTACCACATGCCTGATGAATACTCGTCGCCTGATAGCGCCCTGGCGCAGGCCTTTGCAGCCAGGCAGAGGGCCAAGGCTCAAGAGAGTGATGAAGACAATGGTTCCAGCGCCGTCATGCAGGCCATGCAAGCCAGGCAAAGAGCAGAGGCGGACAGAGGACTTGACACGGGTGACCTGCCATTTCCCGTGTCAAATGTTATGATACAAGTCATGCAGGCCCGGCAGAGAGCAGAGGAAGAGGACAGGATTCAGTGGGTTCCTGCTCCGTCGCAAAACACTGCTCCTCCGGGCTCCAGTGCTCTCATCCAGGCCATGTTGGCCCGACGGGAGGCCCAGAATGAGTACGACGACGGTTACTGAACAACGGGCTCCTGCTTTATCACTACAGAGAGATGAGCAGATGCGAAAAAAAAAAAAACATTTAAATGCACTTTTAAGACTGACAAACTGCACCTTGTGTTGTCACTAGGGATGGACTGATACCTCTTTTTGATTTCCGATACCGATACCGATACTTCAACTTTGAGTATCTGCTGATACCGATACCAATACCGATACCATTTCTCCCCCTAAACTTCTTTGGAAATACCTTATTTGCATGGATGCATTTGTTGAAGATGGTTTTATCAAAAGCCTCATACTATTAAAGCATAGACTTTGCTTTTCTAAGAAAGGAAAAAATAGCCAAAAGCATGTCTCAAAGTGAAACTGTAGCTGCTTTATTTGAGCTGCAATTAGA